ATCCATGTTCTGGCTGAAGATTCATTCGACCCGTGGTGGAGATCGGGAGGGGTAAATAGCGGGTTTGGGATCGGGACGGAAGGTCGGGCGCAGTTGGGGAGGGAGGGAGGCGGGTAGGGAGCGGGAGCGAACCGGGGGGATAGCTGGAGGAATCGCTGGGGGGAGCAGAGTCGAGAGGTGGGCGGGAGGGGAAGACACACAACAGGCGCGTCACCGTCGACGTCCCCCCCCTCCATCGTATACTTTCTCGGTCGTCCCTTCATCTCTCTCTCTCTCTCTCTCTCTCTCTCTCTCTCTCTCTCTCTCTCTCTCTCTCTCTCCATCCAACTCTACTATCCCCGCCTCTTCCGCTGCACCTTCCCACATTGCTCCTGTTTCGCACCAATCCAACCGTCGCGCGCTGCTTGGCCTGCGCACCCCGCCTGCGTCAGCCTGCTGCGGCTGCTCGGCCATGTGTATCACCGTCGGCTCATTCCCCCCTGGCCCCGGCTCCTCCCCTGCGTCCTCCGGTTTCGCACCGGATGCACCGCCTTGCACCATTTCGTCCCCCGCGCGGCCCATCGACCCGTTCCCACCTGCCCCCGACTCCTCCCCCTGCGCTGCCTCGCACCATTTTGGCCCGCCCTGCCCGCCTCGCACCGTTTCCTTGGCCTCCTGTGTCGTGCTGCTCGGCCGCTCCCCGCAGGGCCCATGGGCCCGCTCCGCGCTTTCCCAACAATGTGCACGAGGGCTCGCGTGGGACGCTCACGCAAGACCCTCTATTTCCTTTAGAGTGTTATTAGAAGAGAAGAGAAAATGTAAATTGCTCGTAGCTAAATATGATATTAGAACCAATCCAATATAAAGAAAATTTGTCAAGATAGAGTTCTTCCTAACCAAATACGTTATGAATATACTCTCAAATTAGCCAAATTACCAAGGCGGAGGGGGGGTGGGGGCGCGTAATGAGGGTTTGTCATCTCTGGGGCTGGGATGATCTTTGGGCTCGAATCAGCTATGGCGGTTGGAGAGGAGGAATGGGGCGACTTCAGCTCCGCGGGGGAATTGCATGTCGTTGAGGGAGCAGGGGTGACCATTTGGGGGGCTGTTCCAAATTGGGGCCAGTAAGGAGAAGGGGGCTCCTCCCAGCGGAGGGAGTGGAGGAGCAGGGGGGTGTTGCTCCTGAGGGGAGGGAGCAATCCTGGGGGTTTCTGTGGGTTCTCTCAAGCGCAGTTGAGTCTTCGCTTCACTCTGGAGCCTCCAGACGGAGAGTTGTTGGTTTTCCCTCCCCTCCTCTCTTTTTTCTGGAGGTAGAAAGCGCGGATTAGGAGGCTCTATCAATTTTCGTTGATTATGTGGCAGGTGTGCCAAAAATGAACTGATGGTCGAGCGACTTTGGTGGTATCTGGTGTGTTGTCCGATCTGTGTCGAGGCCGTCATGTCTTTGTTCACGGTGGGCTGATGCCAGAACGACGCTGGCTGGTGCTAGGGTGTGGTTGCGTTGTCCTGTAATCCGAGTTAGGCAGGGGTATGAAGCCTGGTAGTGAGATTAGGGGAATTGTCGAGGGTGGAAGGCAATTCCAGAGGCCATACGTGAGGTACCAGCAGGACGAAGCGGGACGGAGCTGGGGCAGATCGAGCTGTTCTGTAACTGAGCTTGGAAGGGCGTGAGGCCTGGAGAGTTCTGGTATGAGGACACGAAGGTTAAGGCCAGTTTCAATGGTCGACTGGATGTCACCAGGATAGCTTGGCTTCAGTTCTGCACATGTTTGTGGTTTGCTATTT